CTTCCCCAATTTGAATATCGCCGCGAACCTGCCTGAATATCCCATGCCTGTTTTATTTTGGATGACCCCATTGCTCGGGCAGAGGCAAGGAGGGGAGGGCTGCACTGGTAGGCTGTCTGATGAGCAGACTTCACGCTTGGGTGACACCACCACGCACCCACACATCATTCCCAAACTGCTGCCCTTTGTAGGGTAGCATACCTAGGCCATGTATTGCGCCCAGGGCATTAGAAGGAGAGTTGGTTCAGTACCCCAGTGGCCAGCGTGGACCTGGTGGCCTGGCAGCCAAGAGAAATGGCCTATTTGGCTACAGCGGCAACTGCGCTGAGGCCTGGGAGTTAAAAACGGGTGGTTTTATCTCCAGCAGTGCTCGTCTACTTGCTGGCTTGATTGTAATCACAGCTGCCTTACCGTGTAACTGATACTGTCCTCCCCGCAGCGTGGATGTGTTCGCTGGGGTATCAGATCCTGCTGTCTGTGTTTGCTTTTGTTATCACCCACCATCAGCAGGTCTCTTTAAAAGACCAGCTCGGACCAGACGCCAAGGAGAAAAGAAAGATGCCGTTTATCCTCTTCCCTCTGGCTGACCAGCCCTTTTCGATCACAGAAATGCCACTGAGAGCCGATTCTCCTCACCTGGGATGAAAATCCATGTGGCACGCCTGGCTCCCTTTGATCGTGCGTAACGTATCGCGGAGCGTTGGGCAAACTGAACACTCCCAATTAAGCACATAGAGCCTTCTAGGCACATGACCTCTCCGCACCTCCTGCGTGATACCTGTCCTCTTTCTAACCCACACGGCTTTGGGAAGTCTGGTCGTGTGCCTACGGCTAAGGAGGCCGTGCTCCGCCACTGCCGTGGATGGTGGCATGACCGTGAGGGTGTCTGTGGACCCTGTGCGGCTCCGGTAGGCTAAAGCCTAAAGGAGGGCCTAAAAAAGCAGCTCTCTGGGTCGGTTGCTTCAGGGGCTGGTGCTGGGTTGTAGCTGTGGATCAGCTGGAGAAGGGTGCCACATTACGACTTGTCCCCTGACTGCCAGCTTGATGGCTTAGGGAGGGTAGGAGATGATGGTGGCTGGACCGCTTCTCCTCGAGGTCCGAGCGGAGCACGCGGAGGCTGGCTGGTGGGGTTGGTCCCCAATTTCAGGCTGGGTCATTCTTGCAGGTAACTTCCAGAAGAACATGCACCTGCAAGGAGATACCAGCCTACGTGCGTGCATCCCGATGCCCAGGCCGAAAAGAAAACGGAGGATGAAGCCGAGAGAACGCGTCAGTAGCTCAAGGGCAAGAAAATACATGGGATGCAATATCGCAACGAAACAGGAAATTCAGAGTTAGTTTAGTAACGGCACCGTGGGATCGCGGCACCTTGGTTACCTGCGATCGCAGAGGGGAGCGAAACGACGGTTCTAACGGTGCGTTAAAATGCCCTTTTCCCCCTTTTTTTGCCCCCGGTTTCCCGCAGGGTACAGGCAGCAAGGGGAGGAGGAGGAGGAGGAGGAAGGGAGGCAGGCGATGCCCAG